CATACACTCAGTTTATTCCTAAGTTTAACCTTTTGCCGCGATCATTTGTAAGACAGTGAGGCTATAAAACTACGAAGAAATCAAAATAGATGTACATCAATATCTCTGTTATTTCCTTTTTTCTCAGTTTTGTTATCTGTACCACTAGAAAATTGAATATTTTTTTTCTCAGGTATTTCGACAGTGTAAACGTAATTACACGAAACAATGTAAACAGTAAATCTTACATGTTATGTACAACTGTTTGAGACGGTAACCTATAGATCAGCAATATGACATCAGAGGACCGTTGGCCCAATATAAATGCTAATTCTAGATAACACAGTAACAATGTTCGCTATCTAACAAATTTCCAGATTACACCCTGCTCCTTCATTTGCATGTTTTGGTAGAAATGTTCAACTACTTTTGAATGTTAACTCTGTTACATTCGAATTAATAAAATTAGTATTTCACTGTCTAATCGTACTTCGGAAAATTTAAATTGATTAATTTGCATCTTTACTAATATTATAAAAAAAAGATTTGTATTTTTGGTATTGAAATAACTCAAAAATTACTAGGCCGATTTGAAAATTCTTTCACCGTTAGAAAGGGAATTTATCTGTGAGTAGCAAAGGCTGTTTTTTATTATTTTTTAATTTCACGCGGACGAAGTCGCGAGCATAATAAAACAGTCATAAAATGTGATATTTTTTGACGTCAATTCTGTTATACTAATTCCAGTTTTTCTTATATTTACAGATAATATACAATCCATAAAAATGTGTAAGTTACGCCAATTGAATGCTCAACTAACATCGGACGCATGCGCGCCCTAATTGGAATAATTTGTCGACCAATAACTTACATCAAAAATCAACACAGATATTGTCATTAAAATGTTATTTAAATTCAATATTTAAAACAATAATCAAGCGTTGCCTTTTAAAATATTTTAAATAATAATGGAACTAGAGCTTTGCTGAGCTCAAATCGAATGAGATGACGTCAATGGCAGACTAACCCCTTGTCCTCTTTGCCTACGGTCACGTGGCCTTTACGCGCTTTGAACTTATGTCGAGCTATAGTTATCGCACTATATAGGTTTCATTATACAACTTCCGTTTCCCGAGAGCAATCTCGGGTTATGGCATCGAGTTTTAATGGACTAATTACAATCTATTGATACACTTCCTTTGAACTTTTAACGACATTTTGATTAGTTTTCAACTATAAAAGTAATAAAAAAATGTAACTTTTATGGCATCAAGGTATTAAAAGAGATGGCCAGATAATATTCTCTCGCGTTAATATAACGTTGACAATACACATCGTTCAACGGCAGCTATTTCGGTGAATGAATGAATGATTTTTAATCTTAAACGCCAGCTAATATAGCACGTAAGTGGCCAGACTAAGAATCAATTTAGCTTGTATTTTTGTACACTTTAGGCTAAAATCGAATAAAATAAATCGATATGTAACTGATTTATCATCGGCGGCTTTTTAGTTTTTGTACATCATGATGGATTGAACACTTGGTAAATATTATATTGAAATTACGAAGCATTTTTCGTTATATTGGCATGATTAAAATGTGAGAGCTTTTAGATTAGAAATACTTATCCGTTGGTATTTTTCTATAAATAACACGGCAAATTTGTTTTCCTAAAAATAATCTTTCCGCGAAAAGAAGCAAGATCCATCATGTTCACGAAACGAATAATTTTCATCAATACTTTGACATGAGAAAACACGGGTAGATATATTTTTTTAACGAGGGAAGATACAAGTAAATATTGAAAGGCTTTACATAAAATGAATATCAAATAGAGAATGGATAATACAAGTAAAAGTAATTAAATAATAAATACACAGTACAATTAACAAAATAAGTATAATGCGTGTCAGTTTGGGTTATCTTAAAAAAACTGTCAACTTACCTGAATTTGATGCCAAAAAAAGCATGGCGTCGCATCTCCCGCCAATTGGAAGCGATCACCGGAATCACAGAGGCATAGGCTCGGAGAGGCGGCCACGATCGATATAACCGCACACGACACAGGCTCGCGGACGCTGCACGCAGCACGGCGCGTACCTACGCACAAACACCACATATTATTCTCAAGTTATTATTTTACAAGCAAGTCCGCTCATGAGAAAAGCAACTTGAGACGACCGCAACGATCGAAACCTTAATACTTCCCTTCGCTTCAAATATTAGGTGACAAGCGATCGAATACCTTCGCGCGATTTATTAGCACAATTTCCAACTGGTGTGTTCGATTTTACTGTCGCAAAGTGCACATACTTTAAGAAACGTAAGCAAACGTGATAGAAAACTTTTTTGAGCTCACAAAACTTTGTAACGCGTCAACCGAGGACCGATATAAAAATAATGTGAACAATGTGGGGATAGGAACAGGAGTCGCGTAATAATAAGAGACCTCGCGTGGGGATGGGCACGGAGGGTGCATTGTGCACCGGCGAATTTCGGAAGGGCCCGTCCCGAAAGCCCTTGTCGATTCCCCTAAACTTGCGCCAGATGTGAACCAGTTTTGATTTCTTTGAAATACCGTTGAATTTAGCATTCATAAAAGGGGAACGCCAAACAACCGTAATGTACCGTTTCCAAATGGTGATCATATAAACATCAAAAACAACCCAGATGATTAATTTGCAAGTGAAATTTTACTGGTATTTAATTAATTGCTCTATTTTAAATACATACTTATCCCTAACAAATTACCAAAATACTTTTTATGCATATTTGTTACAAAAATGGCACTTGTTAAGTTTATTTGTAGTATTTCATTACCGCTACCAGTATTCTTAAATTCTCTACTAAAATCGATTATCTAAAGGTCGTTAAACCCAAATCCAAAGGGCACTTCCTTATTCGAGCAAACGTTACGTATTTTAATAGACATAAAGATTTCATTCTCGAAAATACAATTGTATAGACACTTACATTAGAATATTATTTCTCTTATAACATAGGTAGTAGCCGATATTGATCTATACTAATATTATAAAAAGGAAAGATTTGTATTTTTGTATGTATTAAAATAACTCAAAAACTACTGGGCCGATTTTAAAAATTGCTTCACCGTTGGAAAGGTAATTTATCTGTGAGTAACATAGGCTATATTTTTAATTTCACACGGGAGAAGTCGCGAGCAACAGCTAGTTACTTTATAAATTTGATACGTCTTTCTACAATACGTAGCGATTTAAATATATTAAATGGACTCACGTTAATAGTAAATATCAAGATCATTGTAGATAATTGTCAAAAATTAAATAATAATCGTTTCAAGCTTGTATAGTACAGAGAAGGTAGGTAGACTAGGTATTCTAAAAAGTAAAAAACTGGGGTTCTTTACCGAAACCGACAGACGCTGAAGAAAGTTCACATAACTCTTATTAATTCCTGCCTTGATGTGATTCAGCATTTAGCTAATGCTGATTCACGATGAGCGCATACTATCGTAGGATTGTTGCCTTTGGTACTTTACACGTCAAGATGCTTAAACTAAGAAAACGTTTCAAAATATTTTGCTAACTTACCATTGTCTTTTTTTAATCTCATCATAAGTTGGTCCAATCAAGATAAAAATGTATTGAAATGACTAAAATTTAAAAAAACACGCTTTTTTGTTTCTAAATTGTCCATATTTTGTTACATACCCTCAAAAAACTGGTACGCCGCTTTCCTTTCCTATTGATTATTACAATATTATAATAGCCCATAAGTTCCCTTGGCTTAAACCTATTACTTATACGTCGAAAAACATACATGTTCAAACTCAAATATTTAAATACATAGTACTGCCCCTTTGAACAATATCAGTGAGATTATTCAAATGAGTGCGTAACTCGAACAGTACTTTATCTCGCTCCCTCTTATAAACATTCCAATGGATCTGTCTCTTTCTACATCATTGGTACTAATTGGAGTTATATTGACTATGAAAATAATGAATTTATACTTCCATTAACAATCATAATTATCTCTTTGGTTATTCGAAATATAGTAATTTGAATTTGAAACTAACCAGAACGGAGTTAAAGACTGGTCAAAAATTTGCTTGTTCTAACCGAATATGAAGATTCTTTTCATCCTGTGGAATGATTCATTAAGACACCACTGTAACAATAAATAAAATTAAGTGTAATATATTACAAATAACAGTTACTAATTTGAATGTTCTACAGCCCACTACAAATTTTGTAATCTCTATTACTGACTAGCTGCTGCTCGCGATTTCGTGCGCGTGAAATTAAAAAATAATAATAAAAATGTAGCCTGTTACTTATTAGTAACTTACTGCGTTAGCGCGTAGTATTAGTAAAGGTGAAAGAATTAATGAAATTGGCTCAGTACTTATACTTATTTCAATACATACAAAAATACAAATCTTTCCTCTTCATAATATTAAATAAGCAAGACGCTATACACAATTACAACTAATTACTCTTGATTATAAGATGGGTTAATTAAAATAAATCTAAATCCGTCTTTACAAAACATACTTAAAAGCGCTATATAAGTGTTTAGATGAAAGTCCGAGAATGAATAAGGTATTGCTTAGATACAAATTGTGAATACAATAGCCTGAATAAGTAAGCATAGTGAATACATTAAAAATTCAGTTCAGTTTCATGAGCTTTCATAAGCATATCAATTTACTTAAAGAGTGTAGTTCCCCGTTGATATCAACAGATGGCTCCGTGTGCGCACTGCTATGTCAAATTCTCTTTGGTTTGCCGCTGCGCTATTGTATCGATTTTACGTACACACCTCAGTATTTACATGAGCAAAAAATACATAAATGAAAATAATTATAAAAACTATATTTATAGGCGTAAATTAAAACATTCAAATTACTTAAGTTGTGGAAAAATCATATTACAGTTCAATAGTTTTTATTTACTGAGAAAAAAGCTAGGAACGGCTCGAAAGCAAAATAAAACCGAAGTCGCGCGGTGCTGGCAACTCACAAATGTCTATGAATTTGACCCCGAAGCTCGTGTCCGGAGCAGAAGGAGAGTGTGGTGTAGGGCTAGGCCCTTAGTTTTTGATCTTCGTCTGTTAATGTTGTGTAAAATGGGCACATAAGAGGTAATTTCTTTTTATTTAACATAAGTGTTATCAAATAATTGTATTTTAGTGTCCGTCGCGATAAATGCTTGAAATAAAAATATCGTGAACTGACTACGAACGACTTCATCTAAGAATATCGTCAAATGTCGCGCACTGATTATCTTAAACTAACATAATTTAATAGCAGTGTTATTTTTAAATTATTAATGTGAAATATAGGATTGCGAAAACGGGTTTACATTATTTGAAACGGTAATTATTATGTGAATGGAAGGATATAGTTCAATTTCGTAAATGTGAGACAATGGTGTATCGATTATTTTGCGCTAACGAAATGTCATCCCGGTGCCGTAGTGTTAATATTAGAAGTCTATGTTGGTGATCGCGATTGCTATTGTCTAGGCATCTACGTGTTTTAAATTGAGCTTGCTGACATCGAAATTAAGAACTGTGACCGAAATACGCTAAATTAATATTTTCTGTCTTTTAAGGTATGGTAGCTTTCAATTAAAATTAATACAAATGGTGAAAAAGTTAAAACTGTTAATTAATTTTTATTCTTCTTCTTCGTAAGGCTGTAAATACACTTTTAAATTATTTAATTACTTTATACGAGTATACCAACATTTCGGAATATGTCATAGATATTTTTCCACTGGAATTTGTAACAGAAAATAACTTTAATATGAAATCCATCGGCAACTAATAAAAAGAGTATTAAACCGTTTTGTTTTTTTAGTTTTTAATTTTCAAAAAATACACACTTGTACTTGTTTCCCGAACTTTAATCAATTTTAAGTAATATATTTAAAATTCTGATATAGTTTTTTTTTTTTATAAAGAAGGAGATAGTGTTCTTTTCTCATATTTGTATCCTTTTTAGTCATTTTTAAAATTGTCTGGGATGTCTTTTGAACTAAATTTAGGGTAGACAGAGATCGTGATTGTTGAAAAAAAAAGCATTGCTTATGGTAATATTGTCAACATAATTCTGCAATTGAATTAAATTAGATATAGATACGTTCGTATATGTATGATAATTAACGAACATACAAAAATGCGAAACATTAGGCAATTTCTTAAAAGTATGTTATAAAACATATTCTTATTTCTTAACAATATACTTATTTCGCCATGAATACAATTTGAATAACATAGATTAAAATTCTTAACAAAAAAAACCATTTGTCTCTAGAAGTTTTTTTCGTAAGTATGTAGCCGTTTTTTTTAACATACGTAACATATACGAAGATAACAACTAGCTCTGACTGTTAAATAATTATTTTCCTTGTCATTAATTATTCTTTTGACTGTGAAAAGTATGCGGAACGCGACGAGGAAAATGTATTGCACATGCAACTCAATGTTTATTATTTCGTGTTATCTAAAGATACCTAAGGATCTTTTAATCCAATTTAATTCAAGTGTCTTCTTAAAATAACTAAGTATAAATAACGGCGGAAATTACTAATAAAAGTATTGAATTATAGCATTCCAGAATTTAACGGATTCCATGAATTTACACTATTTAATAATTAACGGCATTAATAGTATATGAACTTAAACTAAGCAGGTTCTCTTCGTTGTTTTTTGACTACCATCTCGGGTCTTCTTAATTTTAGTGGTTGTCTTCTTAAGTTTACCTCCGCTGTATGTTATATTAGGTTCGTAATATACGTAAGACTGTATTTTCAAATGCTGGCATTTTGAGTTTATATAGGACATCATCATGTTACAAAAAATGCGATTACGGGATTTTCAGATTTTATCACCTTATTATTTCGAGTAGGTGCAAAATTAAACATTGATTAAAATGTACTTATTTGTAGATATACGTTTCATTACATCCGTTTCTAAAATTATTTATTCGTAAATAACCATTAATTTTGCATTCTTGTTTCAGAGTGTTACAATCATAGGTTCGTGCTCAAAGTGAAAAAGCCGTAAATTACAATTGTTGAAAAGTGAAATATTAGTTTAGAGAAAAATGGCTAATCCTAATCGCGAAAGTGTTAGCACCCGTTTCTCGGACAATTACGACCTTAAAGAGGAACTAGGAAAAGGAGCCTTTTCAATAGTGAGACGTGCCGTTCAAAAATCGACGGGCTATGAATTTGCAGCGAAGATTATTAATACTAAAAAGCTTTCAGCTAGAGATTTCCAGAAACTGGAACGAGAGGCAAGAATTTGTCGAAAATTGCAGCATCCCAATATTGTAAGACTTCATGACTCCATCCAAGAGGAGCATTTTCACTATCTCGTTTTTGATTTAGTGACAGGCGGAGAATTATTTGAAGACATTGTAGCGCGAGAGTTTTATTCTGAAGCTGATGCTTCTCATTGCATTCAGCAGATTTTGGAGTCAGTGCATCACTGTCACCACAACGGCGTGGTCCATAGAGACTTGAAGCCCGAGAATTTATTGCTTGCAAGCAAAGTTAAAGGTGCAGCTGTAAAACTTGCCGATTTCGGTTTAGCTATTGAAGTACAAGGTGATCAACAAGCATGGTTTGGTTTCGCTGGAACTCCTGGTTATTTATCACCAGAAGTTTTAAAGAAAGAACCTTACGGAAAACCTGTAGACATCTGGGCTTGTGGTGTTATTCTGTATATTTTGCTTGTTGGCTATCCCCCGTTTTGGGATGAGGATCAACACCGATTATATGGCCAGATTAAAGCAGGAGCTTATGATTACCCGTCCCCCGAATGGGACACTGTAACACCTGAGGCAAAAAGCCTAATTAACCAAATGTTGACTGTGAACCCAAGCAAGAGAATCACAGCCTCTGAAGCTCTTAAGCATCCATGGATCTGCCACCGCGAACGCGTTGCTTCAGTTATGCACAGACAAGAAACTGTGGACTGCTTGAAGAAGTTCAACGCTCGCCGTAAATTGAAAGGAGCTATTTTAACTACCATGCTTGCAACGCGCAACTTCTCTGGGAAATCAATGGTAAATAAGAAGGGAGATGGATCTCAAGTCAAAGAATCTACTGACAGCAGTACTACTTTGGAAGATGAGGATTTAGATAAAGATAAGAAGGGAGTAGACAGAGCGTGTACGGTAATTTCAAAAGAACACGAAGAAGATGCGCTTACAAAAGCTGATTCATTTGGAAAAGCCCGTGGCGACAGCAACGCTTCTCTTCGTCGTGCGGAAGTGATAAAGGTTACCGAAGTCCTTATAGATGCCGTAAACAACGGTGACTACGATACGTATGCTAAACTTTGTGATCCTAATGTGACTGCATTTGATCCTGATGCACTGGGAAATTTGGTAGAGGGAGTGGAATTCCATAAATTCTTTATAGATAATACTCCAGCACACGTTAAGACAAATACTACCATCCTGAACCCTAGGGTACACTTGCTCGGTGATGATGTAGCCGTGATTGCGTACGTATGTTTAACGCAAAGTGTCGACGCTGAAGGGCGACGTGAAACTCACCAATCGCAGGAAACTCGCATATGGCACAAACGCCACAACAAGTGGATAGCTGTCCACTTCCACCGCTCCTAACTAGTCCCCTCCCATGTCAAGTTGCCACAAATTAAAAGTTCTACAAAGCAAGCGCTGTCTAATGATGTGGCTATCAAAACGATTGTCACTTTTCATGGTGATGACTGAGTGCTCACATCACTCCTATGGCAACAATACAAGATTATATTTGAATCTTAATATCCAATTCCGCTATGAATATTACACGAATTTTATTAGAATTATTTTGTAATCTCAAGGAATTAAGTTAATATTTAGATAAATATCTATGTCAATGTAAACAATTCAACAGCTATTTCCTATGTAATAGTTACATCTCGAACTAAAAAGGCAGTAATGTGGCTAAAATGTGATACCGTTGAAATATTCAGTGCTTGATGCTAGTTGATAACTTGTAGAATGTAAAATAACTCTGATCTCCGCCACAATCGAATATTACCATCGAAAATCTATTAATAATTGACATCAAAGAAATCTCAGGAAATAAACAGATCTGATATATGTGAATCTATGTCATAGGTGAATATGTGAAATGCAGAAATTTTAAACATTTCGAGTTTTTAGCACATTTCTCAATAAGTCTCTCTACATTTTTAACTATGGATGTTTTGTCGTGCTTAAAAAGGGTGTTCTATTTGTTATTGAATACCTAGTTAATAAGACTTAAGAATCATTGCTGCAGTTATTGGCACTACATGTTGCAATGCTAAGACATATTTAGTAGTACTAAAATAAAACTATAGAATATACTATTAGTTCTCCTCTACTATCTAATATTAGCTAGTGCGGATTTGTTATAATGTTTTTAAGTGAATTATATCAATTTTGTCAATTTTTAGATTTAAATCCTGTTATTTCTGCTTGAATAAAAAACAGGTCCTTTATATGATAGTAATAAACATCTCATATCTTTTGAATATCATTGATTTCGCAATAATATTTTAAAAAATACTTAAGATAACTTTGAATTTTGTGTGGCATTTTGTACTTATATATTTTATTGTGAAGAAGCTGTGTGTCATTAATATTAAATGATTTTAGTAAATAATGTAATACTTTTGATGATTCGCTTGTGGAAATGCTATGCCAATGCTTACTGATAACTCATTATTTATTAGAAGTGTAATTAGATATATAAAAAAATTATCGTTTTTTTACAAGTTTTATAAATACTTTAGCATAGTTAGCAAAACTTAATTTTAGTAATCCTGAATTGTTGTAAATTATACAGTGAATTGTGAACCAATGACACACCAGTGATCATAGTGAGATAAAATGCAGTGAAATCCAGAGTACATAGTTGTGCCATCTTTGAAATTAGTGCCAATAACTGTAAAAACTAAAATTTATTCTAGTCTTTATTGTTACGCATACATATATTTAGTATTAATCAATGTTTTTAAAATTAATTTTATTATACATGCATACTGTATGTACATAGATATATTCATTTGCACATTATTTGTTTGAGTGTTTTAAACTTCGGTTTTGCTTTTAAAGATATTTATTTTTATTTTACTAATGTTATATACGTAATCATAATTTCTGTGTATTTTCAAACTAGATTTAAACATATTAATACTTAATTGTTTTGTTAAGAGCTATTATGAACACCAGAACTAATGTAAATGGTCCATTATTGGTAAAACAATAGTTTAATTAAAGCCAGCAAAGTACTTTATATCAGTACTTTTGTAAGGTAATAACAACATTATCAGACTACCAGCTTCTTTATATATCAAACCTTCATAGTACATAATTGTGTTAGCTAATTATGGTTAATCAACTTATCTGACAAACTAATTGTATGGTTAAAAATTAAGGTTAAAAGTGTTTACAGAGTTTTAAGTATTATGATTTTTGTTGTTCTAGGTTGTTAACAATCAGTATTTTATTTGTTATTTCAGATTAATATATATGAAGATATTTTATCAACTACCCTACATGTTACATCTTTATTATTTGTGACAGAAAATTTTATAGATAAATCCTACAATTCAGATAAAATAATTGTTGTATTAGATGCACAAATATTATAAGTTTCTTTTTAATATTTGTCAATCGTTTTATAATTATGTTCTTATATCATTACATATGTATTTTGTCTTCCCTCATTGATGTTTTAAATGTACACAATGATTTAAGGGAATAATTATGAACCAATTTCGAGTATCTAAATTTTACTATTTTGAAATTTTAGAAAGCAGCTCTCCACATATATTATAGCACATTTTCCTGTTTGCATGCACTTTACCTCGCTGGCTTTTAAATTTAGGGGAGCTTTTTTTAAAGTAACATTTAAATGTTTGTCTATTGGCTGAATTTTATTAATAAATACAATAATTGTTCCATACTAAAATAAGTTTTTATTAAAAAATATGCTGATTCCGATATCCTCTGACATTTTAAGACGAAACTAAGATATTTGAATATAGTTGCTATTGAAACTTGGGAAGGACGCAATTCATTCTGCTTAATAAATAGTAAAAGTAATGGTTGTACAACAAAGTAAAAAGTCAAGTTGAATTTAAAGATTGAGATGATCTAGAACAGATTTTTTCATAGACCATATTATGACATTGGGCTAAATTTGCTTAAACAATCAATAACCAATGCAAAAAGTTATCAAAATGGCAGACAGTGTTCTCTCAACTTAGACCAGAATAATAGGATATTTTGGCTAGTCTATAAAAATCTGTTTGCATCCAGATAAATGTGTACTTATGTTCCTTCAATATACCATTGAAAGACACTTTTGATCAATGTAATGCACTTTATTAAACTGTGCTTCAAATGGTTAAGTATATTTAGAAAAATACTTATATAGTAAGGGTGCAGTGCAATATGGTATTCAGATGTCTAATTTAGATCTGTTTCTGTTACATTTATTTCAATGTAGTAATATTTTTCCTATTTAAAACAATCTCGGCTAGAATTGGCCTTGTATGAATTATTTGAAACATAATACATTCAGTGTTGTGTGAACATAAGAGTTTTTTCAATAAAACATCAAGTGGTACTTAAGTCACAGAAATTATTGAATGAAAATATATGAATAATTTTCATTTTTCTTAAATAAATTATCTAGTGTATGTCATACTTTACTGCACCTCATTAAATATAAATTTTCTCTATTATAATGAAAGCTATTTATAGCAAAATTTTTAAATGTGAAGGTGTAGCTGTATTAAAGATTTGTCAATATATTTGTCTGCAATATAATTTCTCAAACCTCTGCATTGCCGATTATCATGTAACTCTAAAATAAAGTTCTTTTGATCTTATTCTTATTATTGTTGTTTATTTATCTCTCACATATAGAGTTAATTACATAATTATCATTTATTTATTTCTAAATTGTTTTTTTAATATTGTTCTAACAATGTACGGTATGTGAGTGTATTAAGGACAGGGAGGTGATATGAACCATGTTTCTTTCTTTCAATCTTCTTAGGATATGCCACCCCTATCTTTTTAAAGTTAAAAATAACTATTCATTGTCAAGTGTAATGGAAAAATAACAAGCACACAAATATATCAAAATTAAATCTATTTAAAATCACTACATTCCTTAAAATGCTTAGAAATATATATTTAATTACATTAAATTACTTTTTATATTACAATATTATACAAATATAAAATTTCTATTTAAATCTAAATTCAAAATATATTAAGCATCAATTCTACTATATTAAAGTAAAACATACCTCTATGTCAAAATAAATTCAATGATTTAATTTTTGTATGAACTCCTTTACATCCATCTTGTGAGACATTAAAATTTTTCATAACCATATCAATATCTACATTTAAAACCAATCTTTGTTCTAATTCATCTTTAATACATTGCTTTAAAACATCTTCAGTTAATGGCAAATATTGTATAAAATATTTTGAAGCATTAATAATATTAAAATCTTGTTGTAAATTTGTCAAAAAATCAATGCAGTCAACTAACTCATTTGATGTATCACAGGTATATACAAATATTATTGTTACATTGCTTTTTAGATTCTCAGTCTTTTCTATAATATCATTAACTATAGATGTCATATGTTTGTCCCCAGGATTCAAATCATCTACAATAATAAACCATTTCTCACAAAAAACTAAACCTACCTTTATCTCAGTTGTAAACTTATCTACAAAACTCGGCATTGTGTAATGATATACATTTGAAAATCTTAATAACTTTTCAAGTAAAATTGAAATTGTTAGTGTTTTTCCCACACCTGTCCCTCCATATAAAATTAAGATCTTGCGACTTGTATTAGCTTCTAAAGCCTGTATCACAGTTTGTACAGCTTTCGATTGACCATGAACTTTGGAAGACAAGGCATCTTTTAACAATATCGTGTTGATCTCACGACAACATTCAAAGTTAACCACTTTGTAGTATAAAATTGCTGTAATTATGCTTCCAATAATAAACCCTACTAAATAAATATTAGATTTCAATAATGTCCTTTTATGTTTTTGTGCAGGCATATCTATATGGAATTTCTTTATTCCTTGAGAGTCTGTTTTTGTAATAGGAGTTTCAGTATTTTCTTCTTTAATTTCATTATAAGATATATCCATTGCAGCGTAGGAATTTGCACTTGAATCTATATCCATAGGTTCGTAGTCTAAATTATTCATTATGTAAAAATGTTAGAGAACAAATAAAATTGAATTGAATCTTTTACTAGTACTACTTTTTGGAGTTTAAAAAAGTTATTTTGCAACGACTCTTTTTATTTTGACATTTTTTGACAAATCGTCAAAATTGCCAACTAAAAAATATCACACTTCAGCTCCAAAATACATGGCTGATACCCTATGATATAAGGCTTTTCAGTCCGTTATTGTGTTAAAATAATTCCGAGTATTATATTTTTCGAGACCACATTAATCAACAGGATTTTCTGGAAACCAATTATCATTTTTTTTTAACAAGAACACGAGTAATTACTACAACTTTGGGTAGAACTTTGAAAGAACAGTGGTAACCCTGGAAATAGTGGTAACTATTCAAATAACTACCAAAACCAATTTGCAATCTGTGGTAAATTGTAAGTAAAAATTCTGATAAATTATTTACTGGTGTGCGGATGGTTAGGACGACGTTATTTTCGAAATGAATACGAAGAATGATGGCTCGAATCAGGATTGTAAATTTACCCCACCAACTAAACCTAAAAAAGTGAGAAATCCGTTTGATAAAGCCTTAATAGAGAGGTTACACAAACCGATTTGTAGGTGAGTATTGAAGTTTTGATACAGTTCATAAAAATTGTCTTCAGTAATAGTATTCGTTGTACAAATTTATATTTTACAGTCCTGGTATGTGTAAGATATACAAAAAGAAAAATACTGGGTGCTTTAAATGGGACATAGACCAAGCATCTACTTTAGTACCTGCTGATATCGTTGCTTGTAACAGTCAATTTGAACCATCGCCAGATCCTATGTTAGAAAAGATTGCTGAAGAAGCATCCGACAGGTATGTTGAAGTTCTATATTGCCAGAAAAATATGAATTCATCTTTAGATGAACCAATTCATGGCATTGATAAGTTGTCAGATAGGCTATACCAACATTATTGCTTGACCAACACCCACAGGTATAATGAAATTGACAAAGGGGAACATAAGTTGGTTGGTTCATGATCACCTCAAGACTTACAATAACTAATTGCTAAAAACATTTGTCATAAAATTTATCATTTAAAGTCAGTTCTAAACTGTTTGTGGCAAATAGTAGGAAAGATTAAAGTGTAGAAGTGATTTACCATAGTCTAAAAAAAATGGTGCAGCCATGTAACACAGATGTTTAATGGCATGATATTTTATGCTAACTACTAACAAATCTTGATTATACACGACACTGTTTTGAGTTGATATTTAACCATATGAACTCAAATACATTATAACAATATTCCATATGTAAAAATAAAATGTGTTTTAGATTTTTTTCACAAGAGTTGGTGGTCCCTAGTCCACTTGAAACATCAAAAAAAGTCAAGCCACTGTTGAAAAAAACACCTAACACCAGTGTTCTAGGAAACAGTTTAAACTCATATGTGACTAAAAAAGATGGTAAGTTGCATCAAAATATAAGTAAAACAAATAATGTATAGACATTTTTTTTATTGTGTAATTATTTCAGTTTCAGTGCAAACAGTTCTCAGTCTTCCAAAAAACCTACCTCATGAAGTTGAAGAAATTTTGCAAAATTTTTGTACATACACACAGGTGACAATATATTAACATATTAAATTTTTTTTTGTTCTCTATAAAATACTATGATTTTTATTCCAGGACCAGAATGTATCTGGTGATTATGTCATTACTGCGAACGATTCATTACGGAGACAGCTGTTCTTTGAAGAGCATAGTGATACTGAACATTATGATTCCGAGGTGACTGATGATGAAGTGCAACAAGAAACTCGTCCACCATCCAGTTATGAAACTCATTCTCCAATAGTCATCAGTCCTGATTTGGTATATTTATGAAAACATTTTTATGATTATTACTGCTAGATTAAAATTTTAACCTAGTTAGTAGTAGGTCTTTGTAAAAATTTTTTATGAAAAATTCTTCCTATGGTGTTAAATTAAAAAATGACAGAGTTCAAAATATTAAAAACATTGTAAGCAATTTCCATTATAAACTATGAATACATATGGTTAATAGTTCTAAATTATTAAGTGTTGATCTTTGATTAAAAATGTATTTCATATATTTAACCAACTACCAAAAAGGTGGTTCTTAAATTATCTAAATTTTTTTAGAGCCAAGATTTAGTGACGAAAGGTTTAAAACGGACATTTGGCACTCCATTAAATAAAGGTAATTTAAGAAGCAATAAGGCTTGTTTCCGCAACAAGGCGTTAGATGTTGTTGATTTTGGTGAGCCATGCTTCAGTCCGATAGAATTTCGAACACCAAAGAGAATGGATCAAGAATCTGCTACTTCATCATCTCTCGCTTCAGCCTCCATATCACCAGTAAATAAACCATCCAGTGATGAAGAGGTAAGTTTAATTAAATGTTTGTGTTAAATGTTTTTATTATAAATAAAGAGGTTTTATTATTTAAAAAAAATGTATATAGTGACTTAATTGTTTGAAATAGAGAAAAAACATATTATTACATAACTTTTCTTCGGCTTCATCGATTGGAATTAAAAAATAACTTTTTCTAGTAATAAATATAGCCTATGTTACTTAGTGATAATGTAGCTTTCTAAGGGCCAAACGATTTTTTAAAATTGGTTCAACAGTTTTGAGTTTATTTGTTTCATAAAAATACAAAATTTTACTATAAAATATTAGTGTAGATTACATCCTGCAATGAATAGTACTAGCATACCTATTGTATGTACAATTAGAAAATCAGTACAAATTTTAGGCCACTCCATTGTCCACTGGTAGAAAGTTTTAAAATTTAACCATCATTTACTTACAGAAAAATGCATTCACATCACCTGAGTCCGATACAATGGCCACTTGCCTTGACTGCATTATACCAGAGCCAGACCGACAAAAGCAATATCCGTGCTTCTGTAAAATATCAACAAATAAGTTGAGTTTGAAACGCAGTGCTTCCTTAAAAGACTCACCGACTAAAGCGAGAAGGGGCTCTAACTTATCTATGGAGAAACGCAGTCTCAGTATGTCGAGTCTCAATCGCAGTCGCTCTGTACAGAAGCTTGATTTTAGTATGGACATGAGTATTGATGGATCAATTCATAATTGCTCACAAGGTATGGATAGAGTAGTTTTTTTCATCTTAATTAATACTAAGTTTTATAGGAACAGCTCTCAGAAGCCTAATTTCAATTTGTTTGTGTATGTTTTTTTTGTCTATTTGATTGTAGTTAAATTGTAAAAAAAATAACAAAACTACAGAAATAAATAAACACTTTAGATTTTTTAAACTTGTTTAAATGTATTTTATGCATGTCTTATTGCCTTTCATAAAGAATACAGTTTTGTAAGTAAAAAAAAAATAAAATTTTCAGAAGATTCAGAGAATGTGCAAACACAAAGTGCCCAAGAAGCTTGGTCTATAGTAGAGGACTCTAGTATTAAAAATCTAGTGAATTTCAAGGAACAATCATGTGATATACAATCTTCCACTAAGCTAGATAGTGCTAAATTACATATACTAGAAGAAACGCCTATAAAAGGCAAAAGTAAACACAGTGTTCTATCACATGAAATTAGTAAAATTCGCGGCTTTGTTACAACAAGCCCTTCACATATGTCTCTAGATAATAGCTTAGATAGTTCAGAAAATTCCCTAAGTCTCGAAGATAAGAAAATAGACTTTAACAATGTTGATCTCAAATTTTTGACTGAAGATATCTCTCAATTTAACTATACCACTCAAAACGCAACAACCGTTGGCGAAAGTTCGTGTAGCTTTAAGAGAATCGATAGTGGTTTTAACGAGAACACGTTCTACGCGAACGCATCTAGTTACTACGAAAGTGCTATTAAACCATCGGAATTAACTGTTACCGAAACATCTAAGAATATAAATAATTCCGCTTTGAAAGAAATCTCCAATGTTACTTGGATGAGAGTTGACAGCGGCTTCAAAGATGAAACATCAACAGATAGTACACAGTTTTTTACCTCTGACAATTCTAATTCCAAATTCACCGGTTTTCGTTTTACCGAAGCGAAGATACAAGATAAAGAAAATGTTGACAGTTTTGTGCACGCTATTAACAAAAATGCACTCTTAATGTCTGATATTTTTACTGAAGATATGAAATTGAACTGCAACTCGTCATCCACTCCATCAAAGAATAAGTCAAGGAAGGTTAATTCTTAGTAGTTCGAATTTTTTTATTATTATTTTTAAGTTATTAATGTAGTTAATGTAATTGATTAATACTCATGAGGCCTTTACATACCACATGAAATTGACAAATACGTAAAATGTTTTAAAAATAACATTTAAATATTTTGGACTGAGAGAAAAACTCATTGCTTTGACAAAAAGAAAAAAAATGTCCGTTTAAATCTCTATTGAGAGATGTATTTAAAAATGAATTTTAATAAAAACTTTAGAATTGTTTACACTTTTCAGACTTTATATGTAAAGGCCTTATTTTTTATTTAATTATTTTGGCTAATGTATGAATTTTATATTCTTATTTTGTTATTGGAAACTTTCCCGTACGTCTTATAAAAACACGTAAACGGTGACTTATCGTAATTAGTTAAATATTTTTGACTAGTTCATTATTGTGAACTATTTTATGAAGTCCTGTCTTTAAGCTATTATGGCTATAAATTATTCATTTTTTTTATTTTCGAGGCGAATAAAATTTTGTAATGTTTAAGACTGAACTAAATAAAATGCATTTAGTAGAATATTAGAATACTTCGCCAATTTGACATATGGATTTTGACAATTATTAAAGTAAATTAAGGATTTTTTTATTAATTTTTATTACTCTTAAAATGGGTCGTTTATGTATTGACTGCCATAATTTCTTTTAAGCATAATTTTACATAATGTATGTTACGTTCGTAATAAAATTGAAACATTCATGTAGTTTTTCTTTTGTTATAAATATATCTAAAAACTCCCCGAAAGTCATGATTACCAATTACTAGCTGTTGCTCTCGACTTTGTCCGCGTGAAATTAAAAAATATAATAAAAAAACGTAGCCTATGTTACTTAGGGATTACCTTTCTAACGACAAAAGATTTTTTAATGTCAGCCAAGTAGGTCTTGAATTATTTCAATGCATACAAAAATACAAATCTTTTCTCTATAGTGCTAGTATATATTTTTGATTTTATTCTCATGTTTCAAATTTCATTTTTTTTTTACTTTCACTAACCAAATAAAAAATGCTAAATACTTAATTGCTATCGCGCAAATAAAACCTTGTCTCTGAATTTAATTAAATGTTTTTGTTTTTTTAAACAGCGTAAATAACGTTTACAGATAAACAATAATTTCAATCGAGTGTAACTATCTTTATTTATTGTTTAGTCAATTAGCGAAATGCGCCGAGTGCAATATGTCGTGTCGGGTGCTTGTGCCCGCGCCGACCAGACTGCTCGTGCGTCAATCGTTTTTAATAAATAACCAAATGATAACGTTCTAACCTCTCTTATCTACGCATCCCGGAACGTCTGCGAACCAAAGGCAATGCGGATCTATTGAATAATCTATATTTATAGAAATATATTTATCTTTTGTCTGTATGTAAATGCTCTATTAATTTGGCACTAATGTAAAGGATTTCGAGGACATAGAAATTTGATCTTTGTATGCACACAAAATGATCGAAAATAAAAAACAAAAATCGCATAATAACAGGTCTTTGAATAATTTAATCTCATCGTAATGAAAAATCTATTAAATAATGAAATTTGTATTTTCTACCACAATTGTTCCAATTTCATACAAATGTATACGCAAACGTATGTGTTTGTTCATATAAAGCTACAAGCACCGACGTTTATCATTACACTGCCATTCGATCTGTTAGCAACCAGCTGTACAGTCCGGGTCATACTACGTTCATCGTATTTCATTAGTTCATTTCATAGAATTCCTCGATAATAGTGACGTATCGTTTGAGCGGATTTCAGCCAGTCTCAAAGTTCCGTTAGCGCTGGCAAGAGGTAAAAAAAGTAAAAAGAAAAAAAAAGTGATTCAGTGACGATGTATAACAGAACAAGTGCGACTTTAATGCTGCAAACAATTATGGTGTTAATGGATAAACAGAATACAACGGACGTGACACATTTCCCTACAAACTTTTTCGGTTAGTTTTTACCTTCTTTTTTAATCTAACGACAAACAATTTTGTTGCAAATAGCAGTAAACGTTTAAAGTGGTCAATTAAAAGATGTATTTAAGATTGCGGTAAGTAAACGTTTATTTAAAAAAAGTGTCCTGTGTTCGTTAGTTTTGAATTTGCTTTGACTTTATTCCAGTTCCTTTACTTATAAAATATTTATATGTAAAAGTGTGACAAATTGAATTTACTATTTTACGATATTTTTGTGGTAATTTTATTAATAGGTTTTTCTTTCCTAAGAGGATGCAGAACTGGAGAGGTGTTACGGTGTCTATGGTTGCTTCTCGAAGGCTTATCCATGGACAGAAAACCGCCCTGATAACTACTTTCCTGCGCCACCAGACTCCTTGGGAGTCAGGTAAGTTTTTTAAAGATTTTTTCACCTGATAATCTTCACATACTTAAATAAAAAGCATATGTGATCTTGTTAAAGTAGGCAAATGTAATTTTTCAATTTGATATGGACTTGACTTCTTGATTAGAAGACAATATCTACTTATTCACTTATATTCTTACCTTTATTTACTCGTTTAGTAATCAGTCACTCAAAATAGCCTTCAGTTAAGAAATGTGAAATATAACAATCCGATTAGAGTTAGTAATGACTTCAATCATAGTCGCTTTCGTATCATCAATTCCCGGTTCTTATCCTACACCCTAGGGCCGGCGCAAAAAGTTTTCGTGCTCCAGGTTAATCTATCTACCGTCATCTAAATCGTGATGCCTTAACCATATCATGTTTCACGCTATGGTGGGTGTGGTATGGATATCTATCTATCTCTCTTCAGCCCTAGCTGAAATAGAGAAGAGGTAGGCCTCTTTCGGTGTACTTCCACACTCTTAAAGTTCTTTGTTATTCATTATTAATTGAATCTCACTGGGGAAATCACAGTGTAAAACAGTAATCAATTTTCCTTAAGTAAAATAAACCATGAATGTTAAGCTTCTGGTATTCTACTAAATACTTCTGAATATTTTAAATTTAACCTTCTATGTTATTAAGCTACATATATGTAGATTTATATCAACAAATTCAGAAAATTTTGATTTTTTACCATCCAATAATTTTGGGTTACAAAGTCCCTACACTTCCATATCTATTAATATAAATTTAATCGGTATTCTATAAATAAAGTGCTTCATCTTACGGATATTATTCGAGTTATAAATTTTATAGCTCTTGGTGTAATTTAAATAGCTTCGTAACTTATACCTCGCTTGAGAAGTCAATATCGCTCACGAGGGCCATCAAACTTCTCAACTCGACCGAATACTCTCCGCGGTGTTACTATAAGGGTCAGTGGTTAACCAGTGGGTGTATAAAGTTTATGGATTCACGAATATTATCACCTAATAAACTAGTATTCTATGTAAATATTGTATTCGTCAAATGTTATTCTGTACTTCAGTAAATAACTAATATTATAAATGTGAGTTTGCAGCCTAAAGGGCTGAACGGATTTCAATGAAATTTGGTATAGATGTAGAGGATAGTGTGGAAGAACACAGACTACGCACTTTTTTTAAAATCCTAAGCGGACAAAGTCGCGGGCGAAAGCTGGATAAAATAAAAATTACATACATTAAACAAGAAAGATCGTCTACAGATGAAAGTAACTATTCTAAAAGATACATTATCTATTAGTGCAGGTTACGTATGACCGATGTTATTAATTTTATCCTAGCATAAGCCTTGTTAAAAGAAATATTAATGAATCACTTTTCGACTAATACTTTTAATAATAAAAATAGGTAAATGATTTTTTTGTGAAATATTTCATTTTAAGATTGCATTGTGAACATTACAATCTAATTTAAATAATTGGAATGCAACTTATTGATTTTATTAAATAGCACAGAGCACAGATTATTAAAAGTGGGTGTGTTCGAAAACAAATACATTATTGTTTGCCAATATTCGACAAGATAAGGTCCATATCTAAATGTTTTCTTACTACGATTTAACGAGGCTCAAAGTTTAATTAGCAAGATCCGCTTCTTGTTTATATCGCATAATTTATATGTCACACTTAATAAGAGTTATCAGGGTAAATTCCAACTGTTTCATTATTATTTACATTTGTTACGACCACGAGGATTTTTTTGTAATCGGTTGAGATAGTTGCCAGGTTTATTTTGATAATAAAAAAAATTGAACTATTTATTAAAACATTACTAAATATCTCCAAGATGTAAGCTTGATGTCACACTGAAATATTATACAGAGTCCAAATAGTTTTGTGATTTATTTTAATTAATTGAAAAGAATAATCACTTAGAAAGTAAACAATCCGACATGAATGCGGAACATAAATTAAATTACTTTGTAACTAACATTTAACGATAAATCATAGTAAATAATTAAGGTCTGCAAGATAAAGTCGGGGGCTCGTCCGTGACATCGGCCCATTGTTGGCCAAGACAACATATTTACGATCGACATGACGTATTTATCATTATTTAGATAAACAAGTTATTTTTGTTGCAATATATTCCTTTAATGAACACGCGCCGCAAAGGGTCTGTTGACCTTTGGACAGTCGGCCGGCCCGACGCGTGGGTAGACCGATAATACATTTCGTAAGTTCGGTATCACTAAAAAATGGGGAATACAACAAAAAATCGCGCATAGTAAAATTAATGCCAAGTTAAGTGAAACTCTTTTATAATTTTTTTTAGATATGCAGTATTTACAAGACGAAATAGAAAAATACCATTGCTATTACAAGCGCATGATAGCGAGAAAATTAAAAATGCAAACATAGATCCCAGAGGACCGTTCTATTTGATATCTCATGGATTCCTTGATGGTGGACACAAAATATGGGTAAGATTCTTTGCAATTCGATCAACAATAATATTTGCTTGAAGCAATTACACAAAAAAATCATCTATGGATTTTGAGACACTAAAGTAGATCCTTATTTTAGATTTCCTATCCTAAATCTTCCTGTTAACACTTATTCAAGGTATTATTTCCACAGGTACAAAATATGGCAAACGCTCTCTTGAGCTTAGAAGGCAATGAGGCGGCTACAGTGATGGTCGTAGATTGGCGGAAAGGTTCCCAGCCTCCGTACGGGCAGGCCGTTGCTAATATACGACTGATTGGCGCAATGACCGCGCATGTTGTGCATACTTTATATGTTAGTATTTTTAAACAATTAATACGATACTAGCGATATTAAACACGCTGTGCTAGAGATCCCGCCAGGATGGCGCGCTATTTTAATACGTCTGACATTGACAGCTGTCAAATAGTGACGGGACGTTTATGCCTTCTAGTGCAGCACCAATCCTACAGCAAAGTAATAAGTTTCTTCTTAAGAATATGTTATATTTATACTTAGACAATTATATTTTATAGTAATATTACAAATGCGAAAGTTTAGATGGGTGGATGGATGTTTGTTAAAGTTTGTAGCCTAAACGGCTGAACGGATTTCGATGAAATTTGGCATAGATGTAGAATATAGCCTGTAAGAACGCGTAGGCTACATGCATTTGCTTTTTTTTTAATTCCACGCGGGCGAAAGCTAATGTATAATATATGCCATAATACTTAATAAGAACCGTTAATGTATATTGGATTGATATTTTTGCATTTTCAGGAAGTACTGGGTTTGACCAATTTGGACAATTTTCACTTTATCGGGCATTCTCTGGGCGCTCACTTGGCTGGGTACTGCGGTCATACATTACAAAAGGTTAGTATTTAATTCACATTATAGTAGACATGTCTGTTAAAAGAGCGTTGGTCACATAAATGCTATATTAAGGGCCTGTCTCACCAAATTGTAAATTGTCTGATATTACTACGTGTAAAATGTGTTATGGAAATATCGGATTTTGTTACCTTATATGACAGTGACGTCATTTTATACTGTCTGGGCTTATATCAGCCAGTGGTGGGATAGGCCCTAAGTGTATTAATCTATAATTTCTATCAATATACGCAGCATTTAAAAGAGTTTATGATAGCAATATTTCCTATCTTACTAATATTATAAATGCGAAAGTTTAGATGGATGGATGATTGTTACTACGTTCCTCCGAATCAGCTCAACGGATCATAGTTTTCTTGAAAATTTCAAACCAAATTTCACCGGGATCTGTTCAGCAGTTTGGTCTACAAACTCTAACATCGATCAGTTTAGATAGATATCTAAACTTTCGCATTTAAAACATTAGTAACATAGTAATATTAACTTTATTCATTTATATTATTCTTTATATTACTATGTATTTATTACAATTTCAGCAATTCAACTTGAAGTTGGGGCGTATAACGGGCCTGGACCCCGCGGCGCCGTACTTCAGCCAAACGGTGACGTTGGTGCGCCTCGACCGCTCCGACGCCAAGTACGTCGATGTGCTGCACACCAACGCTATGCCGCTATACTTCTCAGGTATAGACAGACAATATAATCCGCTTCCCCTTTAGGATGTCGTTGAACTCTCTTGAGCTCAAGAAATTATTCAATTTCTTGATGTTTTGTCATGTTTTTAACCAAGATTTTTTTTAGGAATTTATGATTATGTGTTACGGTCACAACAACTAAAGATATTAAAAAATTGTGAAACTGAGATTTATTTAATAACTAGCGGTCGCCCGCGATATCGTCAGGGCGGAATTAAAAAAAAAACTTATTAGTTTGTGTTCCTCCAGACTATGTTCTATATCTTGTCAAATTTTCATCGAGATCAGTTCAGCCGTGTAGGCGATAAACTCCAAACATCCATGTAAACTTTTATATTTATAATATTACTACAATTACTAAGATATGTCATGATTTAGTATGCTTACCTTTTACATTTATAACCCTCATTTGCAATACAATTACTTGAAAGGACATTAATACCGTAATAATGTAATTAAATTAAACACTCAGGCCCCCCGTTAGAATGGTGCGCTATTCCAATACGTCTGACATTGACAGCTGTCTGATAGGGACGTGACGTATAAGCCAATAATCTAGTGTTGCGCCAATCCTGTTGCAGTACAGATTTTCTTCTTAACATTACATGTAACTAATTCTTTATCCTCAGGTTTCGGTATATCAGAAGCAATAGGAGACGTGGACTTTTACCCCAACGGCGGGTCTACACAGCCGGGCTGTGCGGGCACGGGCGGAGGGCCGGGTCCCGCCGGCGCAGACATGTACACGCAGCTCAGCAAGCTCGTCAGCTGCAGCCACGAGCGCAGCTACGACCTGTTCACAGAATCCATCACCTCGCCATGCCCCTTCATGGCGGTCCAGTGCCCTTCATACGAGGTATCCTTCAGTTATCTAGTGTCAATCGGGACCGTGCTAGCGCAACACTAGATCATTGGCATACACGTCCGTCACTATGGCAGCTGTCAATGTTAATGAGAAGTATCAATTACTAGGGGTTGCTCGCAACTTCGTCCACGTGACAATAAAGAATAGTAAAAAGTATAGCCTTAGTTATTCAGCTATAACGTAGCTTTTTAATGTTGAACTTTTAAAATTGCCCAATTAGTTTTTATTAGTTATTTCAATACATACAAAAATCCAGAAATACAAATGTTTATAATATTACCGAAGTAGATTTAAGTTGTTACGTTATAATCTAAAACTAGTAAGTTTTAGAACTTAGAGTAACGATACAATCAATTTTTTTCCTACGACTTTGTGTACGTATCATTAAATAACTTAGTAAGTAGCCTATGTTTCAGACAATGATCTACGTGCCAAAATATCGACATACGTTGTAACAGATATCCATCCATTATCTTCACTTTTTTTTCTAGTTAATAATTTATGTGAATTTCAATAGCTATAATGTGATGTATAATTTTAACAGGCGTTTCTAGCCGGTAACTGCACGACGTGCGACAGCAAGCATTACTGCATCCCCATGGGATACTACTCCTACACATTCTACAAGCGGCTGCAGGCGCGCGGCCTGCTCGACTCTCGCTCGCACATCACGCTATACTCTATGACGGGAGATTCTAGACCATACTGCAGTAAGTTCTATTTTACATTTCCTCAAAGGTCGACAACGCATTTTTAATTCCTCTGGTGTTGCCGCCGTTTACCCTCTTCTCTTATATATATAAAAATTATTTAAAGTCATTATTAAAGAATGTTACTTAATTCATAGTTTTACTACTGAAAAAGCAAATATTCGTAGAGAATACGATAAATATATAGACAATATCCAAAGTTTACTCTTTCTGAGTACCATCTGGGGAGAGTTACTCTTTGATAAATAAAATTACAGTCGCGGTTTTAACTGTAATGTTCGTAAAAACGGAGATTTTTTTACCTTGATTGGGTTGTATGAACTCCTGACATTTCAGCACAGTTACGCTATTTACTGGTTGACTGAAAATATTTATTTCTCGTTAAGAAACCCTTGTCTTACAGGCATTAAAATTTCAATTTCTTGTTGATTTTAGAAGATAAAACATTTTTGTTCGTTGCTTTAAAAACGTCTTCTCACATTTTTTTAATATTATAAACTAGCTTTCGCTCGCGACTCCGTCCCCGTGGTATTAAAAAAAACAAAAGTGATTAGCCTATGTGTTCTCCCAGACTATCTTCTACATCGATACCAAATTTCATCGAGATCCGTTCAGCCGTTTAGGCTACAAACCCTAACATCCATCCATCTATCCATCTAAACTTTCGCATTTATAATATTATATATTTTGCATTTATAATAGTATGAAGTATGATGTGAAATTTTGGTCGAGGTTGAAGCCTAAACGGCTGAACGGGTTTTTATGAAATATGGTATAGCCTGGAAGAACATATAAAGCTAATTACTTTTATTTTAATTTGGAGTCGCGGGCTAAAGCTAGTAAGACATAATCTTTAGCTAGAGACATCAACTAATAACTTCTATTAATAAAAACTTGTAATGATATTAAACTGTATTTTACAGAGGTGCACTACAAGATAACACTAAAGGTGTCAAATTCAACGGAGAGCAGAGTGCACGGGCCCGACGTGGGCAGGATCTCAGTGGTGCTGCTCGACAAGAACAACACCAAGAGTGATCACAAGTTCATTGATGATGAACAGTAAGTTTTTGCAATTACTCTTTGGACAAAAAAAATATCAAAAAAATATAACCTAAAAAATCGCTACGCTTAGTTGTTAAAAAGTAGATGCATCGCCAATTATTGTTTCTTTTTTAAATAATATGGTATAAATTAAAAAAAAAACTTACTAATATCATAAATGCGAAAGTTTAGATAGATAGATGGATGGAAATTTGTTAGATTTTGAAACCTAAACGGCTGAACGGATCTGGATGAAATTTGCCATTGATGTAGAGCATAGACTGAGAGATCACAGGCAGAATCGTGGAAGAAAACTAGTATTTTAATAAAAGCAAACAATAATAATTATAACAATGTCTACTGAAAAAAAACCTACCATTTTTTATAAATACATAAAAAAATAGTAATTCAAATTTTGTTGCTTATGGAAAATAATTAAAGCACGTTTTCTTAATTTAAGGAAATATTACAAACCTGGTGATGTAGAAACAAAGATGGTGCCGTTCAAGGACACGGGCCACCCGCCCATGTCGGTCATTGTGGAATGGAAATACGAAACTAATTTGTTCAACCCTATGACATGGAGGTTGCTCAAATCGCCCAGTATTTACATCGAGTATATGAAAATATCTTCCATTGAATATAACACTGAGTGAGTTTTACTATATTTAATTATAAAAAAATTTACTTAACCTATGAAGGCATCTAAAACTTGAACCTTAAACCATTAGCATACGTATTGGAGGATGTTACTGTTGTCTCATTTAGAACGATAAATATTTTTTATTTAATTTATCACAAATACTTTGTTAGCCCTCTTGGTGGAATTGCTTCATAATTTAAATTGCTTATACAATTAAGATTTATGCTTTTTCTTACAGCATCACCGTGTGCCCGAAGATGAAAAAACCAGTTATCGCGAGCTTACAAACCGTAATGAAAACTAAATATTGCGGGTTTTCCAAATAGCTACAGAGAATTCCTTATTCATTTTTCCCTTTCAAGTCTCTGACAATATGCTATCGTCAAAATTTGCAAATTGTCGAAAAAGTATTCAAATAGTATTTATTAAATTGTAGCGAAGAGAAAATGTAATTATAAAAATTTAAATTTGATTTAGTCTTAATAGTGTATTAAAATAGCTTTAAGATGAAATTTTGTTATGTTGATTATTTTTAAATAAAGTTATTTTGATACTCGTTTTTCTTTTCCTATTGCGACCATTACCTCTGCTACCATTGGTAACAATTGTAGTAGGAACCTGAGGAGCAAACTACTAAACTAAGAACTAACTGACTAACCTTTAAAATCTTTAGTGTGTTTACCAATCCTAAAAAAACAAATTTTAAATAAATCATCAATAAAACAAATACATGCAGGCTTATCAGATTATTGTTTATTTTGCGAACCATATCGCCAATCGAAATAGATTTAAACCATTTTCTATGACATCATTGCTCAGCGACAGAAAAATGTTTCTTAGGAAAAATTAAGGGCCGTGAACCAAACAGTTTGAATATTGCGGGTAACCGGATGCATTATGCGCCCGCAAAGGAGGGTAGTTTTGAAATCCCCTGCAGTTCGGTCGGGAGCGTGCCTGCGGAGAGGAGTGCAAGAGAAAGAGTCTTGCAAGCAGTCAAACGAGTCAAGGAAGTGCGAGCACAAAGGCTCCTCCGACATCTCAAAGACAACGGGCGTGTAATTTTTCTTGTCAACGAGATCGTGTTAAAATTCGATTTTTTAGCGTTTTTCGTTTTCTTTCGTTCATTTCGTTTAGAACTACAAATGTGAATATGGGTGCATCGTTGGCGCCTATAGACTTGACAGAACTTGACTCGAACACCGAGGGAGTCCAGGCACCTATAGGCGGTGAGACGAGCATCGAATAGGTAAGAACCACATTATCCTCCATTGTTCCCTTTACTCTAAGGATAAGTTGCGCCGGGGAACCCGAAGCCGTCTCGTACGGTCAGTCCGTTTAAAAGAAATTAATTTAATGATCTGTCACTAAAACATTAAATAGCAAGGTAGCAAATACATTTATAATCTGTACTAGATGCTGTGTTGCCAATGCTACGACAATTGCCGTGTTCTACGACTTTCAGCATTTCATGCCAACAAATTACAAAATCTACGGTCTACGGCAGATTCTACGGGTTTTCTAAAAATCTACAGTAATTCATTGTTTTCCTTCAATGAAATCATTTTTAAATGGCCTTTGAATGAAAATTGAATCATTGACCGACAGTAAATTATAACGGAAATCACAAAATTTAAATGTTTTTCTTTAGGTTTAAATCTTGTGATTTAAGAAACAAAGAGGGACAATTTCAACGCCTTTTTTGATGTTAAAGTAGTAATATTTAGCTAACGCAAAAACTTTTTCGAATAAATCTATTGATACAACCACGGCGTTTTACACAATTCACACGCCCGGGTAAAAATTAGGCGTGAGTCGTTACGTCATTTTCGAGAAACGTAACGAAACTAGTGATTTGTTCGGTGTCACATGTTTCAAAACTAGTGATTTTTG